GTCTTTTCTCCAAACCCGCCGCCTCCAGTGTTGCCAGATCTAACGCTACGTTGACAGTCTCATTACTTAATTTACAGACCTTGTACATCGTGTTAGTCCTATGATGTCACTATTTCCCCTCGCACCGGTTTCTCATGCCGCTACTGAGTACCGATGACACGGTTGTCCAGGCGATTCCAATCTGGCGAATTTCCTCCCACTTGCTGCATTTCCTTTCGCTTTGCCACCCTCCTCTTTCTCTTATCCAGATTTTCATTACACTCCTCATCTAACGGAACGGCTCGAAAAAATTCACTCTTACTATCTGTCTATGTAGAGCTGCACCCCTATAAATCTAGGATCGCCTCCCCTCCGAGTCGATCGCATTTTTCTTCAGCTGTTCACCCTGTGCCACCACAAGAGGGGTTTTGATTAAATTCTCCGCTCCACGGGTACAACGCCAAACGACTTTAAAGATAGTTCAACCCTGAAATCAGATCAGCAACTTGCAAGGATATATTATGCAAGACCGACAAGTGCTTATCTTTCTTAGATTCATACGGAATATAGCCTTGCGTATCTGCATTCTCGACCAAAAACAGCTTTTTGGGTAAATCATGTGAGTATATCACGAATTTGACGTTAGATTTTTGCTAGAAAAGGTATATTTACCTTCTCTCAAAAATTTCCTGTATGCATAAGGGACGAAAATGGAAATTCTGCGATGGGGATCTTTTAGTTTTAATACGTTCAACGCCATGGCGGTCCCATGGGACCGCTTGCCAACGGGCCCATCACCGGGGACTCCAGCCAGAGGTCCATATTTAAACTCATTTGTTTGTATTTTTGTTTTAGATAGAGTTATTAATTTTTTTTGATTGACAACTTTTATTTCCTACTAAATCTATACAACAACTTTGGCAAAAACAAACAATATTCCTGTGAAAATGCATATTGTATATATAAAATAAGTTATGATGTAGGGATACAAAATATACGATAAGTTCATTTATTTATGACTTGCCCCTTATTTTTTACTATAATATCCTGTACAATACCGTCTAATTTTATGTCATCTTTCTTCTTTTTTTCAGTCCATGTCGTTCCCGTCTTTTGTCAGATTTTGACGTAGACGGTAGATTAGACACATTATTTGTTGGGAACATGATGGCCTGATGGACATTTTTCTAATATTTTGCTTGCGTTTAACGTGTTAAAGAAAATAATTTTTATTTGCAGTTGACCAACACTCGATTCGCAGGTGAATTGGATGCATAAGTTACGTGTCTTATATCAGCTTTTTGTTGAGTTAATTGAGATACCCCAAGAATATTCATTTTCATATTCGAAATAGGGTCGTTGCCCCACTTCAAAATCCACTTATGACAAAATGACCAACCAGTGCCCGAAATTACTCAATACTTCAATACAGCTCAGGTGTATGAGGAAAATGTTGCGTTCTTTGGGACGTATTTACATGCCGCTGTGAAACGTAATAATTTCATGGCTTACTGAGATATTTGGGTAAAAGAATAATTTGGACAAATCAGTATTTTTTCTGACTTTATTCAAGTTAATCAAAAAACTAATTAAACTTTTCCATTCGTACTTCTTAGGCACTACATGATGGTTTTTAAATCTTGTGCCCGCCGGCTCGTTTTTCAGAAATCACCATTAACCTTATTTTCTATATGGTCCGAAAAATAAGTACACCCTGTATCTAATAGCAGTTTTCATACGAAATAAACGATGTATCACATGTTACATTTCTTTCGTTGGTTATGAAGAAAAATGCGTTTTTTCAGATTTTTTTTAATCTTGTTTAAGTAATCGTTGCAAACAAATGCTTGACTTGATGTAAATACCTGTCACCGAGTATTGCTGCTATTGTGTATTGTTAATATTGCTTTATTATCGCCAAAGATGTCAGGCGGTCATTTTAGTAAAGAAGAAAAGTTCGACATGCTTACGTGCAACATTTTGTGCTGCAAAAATATTAAAGACACTCCAGAAATGTATCTTAACGTGTGAGAAGATTTTAATTTTCTCTTTAAAAATAATATGGTCCGACGAGAGTACGGTTACTAATAATGGTATCTCTAATCACCGCAACAAAGAAACGTATGCAGACATGAAGAACGTTTTGGGTTTCATATGTGATGTGGAATTCTGGGGACCAAAATATTAGGTCCATTTCATTTCAATTGTTGCAACATGATCTCGAAGACTGCCTTGATAATTTACCTTTGGCACAGGTTAATAGCTGTTAGTTTCAACAAGATGCTGCTCCTACACATAAGTCTAGGTAAGTTCGAGAGAATCTTTCTCAGCGATTTCAAGGCAGATTGGAACCTCCACTGAAGTGTCCGGGCTAGCGCGTTCTCTAGATTTACCTCCTCTGGAGTTTGTTTGCTTACGGTTGTATTAAAAACCAATACTTTCAGCATACTTTTGAAAGTGAGTAGCAGTTACGAGGGTGTGTAATGGAAGCATTTTGTATGATTACACCAGAACTCTATTGTTAGAAGATTATATTTATTTTTGTAAAATGGTAGCAACTTATTCGACTGGTGAATAAAATAAAAATAGTGTGGAAAATGTACTTGTTATTCTGCATATGACTGGATCATTTTATAAGGTTTGACCCCATCATATCATTATGAAATATGTAATACGCATCTATCAGTAATCACATAATATTACAATAAGCATTTGTTTGCAACGCGGACTTAAATAAAATAAAAAGCACATTTTTCTTTAGAACTAAGAAAACAAAGATAACATATATTATACATCGCTGAATTCATAGAAAAAAATGATATGAGATTCAGGGTGTACTTTCTTTCGGGCCATATAAAAAAAATAAAGTTGATGATGGTTTCTCAAAAATGAAACGTCAGGCACAAAATTTAAAAACACCATCATTTAGTGTCCAGAAAGTCACAGTAAAAAAGTTGCATTAGTTTTTGTATATTTCTTAAAATACAGTCTGAAAAAAATAAAAACGATTTGACCAAATTTTAGTTAGGTAAGCCATGAAATTTTTACAAGTTACCCAACGGCATTTAAATACAACCCAGGGAACGCAGCTTTTTTCTTATTTAACCTAACCTGTATTGGGGAATTGAGATCCCCATGCATAGGATCGTTATCTTGGATACAATCTTGCTTAAAATGAAGATCTCTAACAAATCGGATCCGTAGATCATGAATCAGATTTCGGTTTCTTGCTGACATTGTTGAGACTTCAAGATGTCGATTTCTCTAGTTGAAAGAGACCTTCGGGGAATTTTCATTAACCAAGCCCAAGATCAGTGTTCCAGATAACACTGGAGAACCGATTTACGTTAATTTGTAGGTAGAGTGGACAAATGCAGAAACTTAGAAATATGAGGCTATGCACTATAAAGATTAATACAATCCAAGTAATTTTTAAAGAAAAATTTCATATATGTAATTTTGACCTCAAAACTATATTCAGTGATAAAAAAAAGTAAACACCAACGTATGTTTATTAAATTTTAATGGCATATATGTTCAGTGTCCCGTACTAGTAAAACGATTAAATTTTCAGCTTGATTCGTAAACTGACTGAATGAAGCACGATTTCTTATACACTCACGCCTGGACATTGTGCTAATAAGGTGGTCGATATCCTATTGTGGTATCTCATTCCAGGCTACTGCAACTTCCTTAGTAAGAACTGCTAAAGTCTGTGAAGGATGTTGAAAATTCAAGAGCCTGCGACCTATCATGTTTCAGATATGTTCAATTGAAGATAGGTCAGGCGTTGTGGTGGCCAGGGTAAACGGTTGATGCTATATTGATCCATGAAGGCTAACGACGCTCTGGCAGCATGCGGTTTGGCATTGTCTTGCTGAAAAATTGGGTTTTGGATGGTGTTTAGGTACGGAATAAGATGAGGCTCCACTAGTTCCTGAATATACCGTCGGGATGTCATATTGCCTCTGATGAAAATTAGTGGTGACCTGCTACCATAAGCAATAGCATCCCATACCATAATTTCCACGGTGTGGTGAACGTGACGTTCTCTGTCAAATTGTGGGTTACGTCTTTCAACACATCGCCTTCTCATTCTTGCCCAACCATCGTGCATCCCCAAACAGAAGCGGGATTCCTCACTTCAGCTGTGAGAGGTAGCACCCAACGTGGGCGTTAAGAAAAAAGGTCAAACTAAATCTGTCTCTCAGAGCCAGAAGTCTCAACCGGCGGTCTTGCCGTTCTGTGGGCCCTCTGGGACGGCCAGAGCCACTCGCTCGCTGTCCTAGGCCTTCCTGGGTCCATGCTTGTTCACACCGCAGTATACTGCATAAGGATCTGTAGGTTCTCCTATCTTATCGATAGATCGGCTTCACTCAACCCGACAATTCGACCCCTATCAAAGACACTTAGCTGGGACACCTAGCGAATTCTACGCACTCTAGGCATTTTGAGCAATCACAAAGTAAATGTAAGAAAACTGAATTCGTCTTTATCACCAAACAATACACGCAGCCACCACAAAAACTTAATAGAAAAACCTGACCATTATATCACTTGTTGTTCATGGCAAAATAAATAGATATGTAAAAAATTCTTGAATTAATAAACATACGTACGTGTGTACCTTTTTTTGTTAGTCAGTATAGTTTTTTTGGTAAAATAGGTGCGCAGATAAAAACATTTGTGTCAGTTTTTCATTAACATCATTAAGAAGCAATAAAAAGTTTATTCTCCTAACTTCAATAAGGACTTTAGGAATGTTTAGGATTTTTTCGTGGTGTTATGTGGAATAAACTTCCCAAATTATTGTGGTATAACGAATTCCATTCGCATGTAGCCACAAAAAGCGTAGATGGAACTTTTTCATTGAGATACTCAAAACTTTAAATACGTACCATTGAAGAACATTTAAAAAAATTCTAGCATATCTGCATTCTTGCAAATAATCTTTCGATTTTACCATCTATCTCAAAAGTCAGCTTTTGAAAAATTCTTTTTCTAAAACATACCCATCTTTTCAGATTTCCACAGTACATCGCGAGTGCCAAACATCGATAACTTACCGCGTTTGACATTAGACTGAGTTCGTGCCGCGATGAGCGAGAGCGCGTACAATTCTCCGCTGTTGGCGCGCCGCCTCGAAGCTGCAGCGTTCGCAGCTTCTTCGGGATCAGCTTCGTGCTGCAGCTCGCCCGCCCGCAGCATCCGCAGCCATCATATCGAGGACTTGACCGATTCGGACGGAGAAGGAGATTCTTTGCTCATCACTGAAGTGCCAGGCGTTCCAGAACAGACAGTATGCTCAGGATGGCTCAAGTTCAGAGACAACAAGAAGGTAAGGTTCTTTTCTTATACTCGTATCTATGTTCGTTTATAACAATATTGTTGAGGAAGCAATGAGAAAGCTGATAATTTCTTAAATAATAGAGAAACATTGTCACATGCTACTACTAATATATTGAAATCTTATCTTTTTTTTATACTTCAACCACCACGAAGGCCTATGGCCTAAACACCCATGGGGTACCGTGGGACTATAGGGGGTACAGGGGAAAGGGCGAACGCCACACGGGCTCTGGCGAGGGAACACGTGTGCATGCAACATGCACACATTCTGGTCCCGCTTAAGAGATCCGCCGGGTGGTACCTCTGCGTTCGAATGTCAGAGACCGTCTACCACCTACGGACAATCACAACATACATAGCCAAGAGAAAAGTTTCTCTTGGGGCGGGATTCGAACCCGCACAGCGCACGGCGACTGATCAGAAGACCGAGGAGTCTACTTCTGCGGCTACCGCTGCTGCCTATACAGAGATGAATAAAATCACTGCTTTCTTCCATTGAGCCATGATTTATATTGTGCTGATCATTCAAAACAAGGATGAAATGGCATCGCTTACAAATGAAGCATTCATGTAGATACGTATAGCAACCCGAACTTAAAGTGTTTATGTTCAGGGTGTTTCAAATTCGATCCTTACCATTGGGATTTCGGAAATTGTAAGAAATACGAAGTCGCTTAAATAGGAACAAAGTTGCGTATCTAGGTAATAAACAAGATTCCGCTTGGAAAGTTCAACGCACTTCCGGAGATAGACAAAAAAAAAACGTTTCAATTTTTCCTCACTTTATTTGTGGTGTGATTTCAAAATAAATTGCAGATTAATATTGTCACTTTTTCTCCTCTACAAGAAGGCATAATTAGAATTTCAATATGACGTTTCGTTTCTTGTCCTCCAGTATCAACTGTACTTTTCCTATTGGATTTTTGCATAGATAAATAGAGTTTTTAATTCCGATTCCAAAAAATGTATTATACCACATACATTGACATTGCAAATCTTAGTTATTTCAAAAGAAGCCGAATTTCCTAGGTTAGACCGTGCAATTATCAGATAGTCATTTGTTTCGCATACCAGACTCATCCCACAATCACTTTTATTTTACCCTGACTTCATTCGAGACGGGCTTCTAAAGTAAATTGAATGTTGTCATTCTTTCATATTCTGTTTGATAATATAGCTCAGTCATATTTTCAAGTAGACATTTCTTCCGTAAGGAAAAATAAAATAATGCCGGAGGACAAGAAACGAAGCGTCATATTGAAATTCTAATTATGCCATCTTATAGAGAAGAAAAGGTGGCAATGTTAACTTGCAATTTATTTTAGAATCTCATCTCGAATAAAGCTAGGAAAAAATCAAAGTGATTTTGGGATAAATTTGGTAGGCGAAACAGATGGCTATCTGACTATTTCAAGGCCTACCTAGGAGATTCTGCTTTTTTGAAATAGCTAGGGTTTGGCAAAGTCAACGTATGACGTATTATAACATTTTTTTAATCAGAATTTACAATCATATTCATCTGAACAAACATTCGGTATAAAAAAAAGTTGATGCTGGAGGACAAGAGAGAAAGCGTCATATTGAAATTCTAATTAATGCCATTTTGTAGATGAGGAAAAGAAGCTTTGTTAGTATGCTATATATTTTGGAATCCCGTTATAAATAAAGTCAAGAAAATCCCTTTTTTCGTCTCTCTCCGGAAGTACATTGAATTTCGAAACTTTCTAAGCGGTATTTTGTTGATTATCTAAATACGCAACTTTGCTCCCACTTCATCAATTTTGTATCTCTTATAGTTTCTGAGATCCCAATGGTGAGGGTCGAATTTGAAACACCCGGTATATTACGTAACTACATGCACCTTATTGATTTTTCCTCAAGTTACGTCCAAAAAAAGACCTTCAATCAACTTGGCGAGTTTTCAATAACATTTGAAAAACTTCTAACCTACATTTGAAGTTTCAAACGTCAAAAAAACTCACGCTAGGTATCAGAGTGTAGTCATATCTTTAAAATGGCTTTTGACACAATCAAACCATAACTACTTGTTATACCCGTATTTATTACTGTCTGACAGCATTGTGAAGCAGCGAGGATACTTTTATTTTTAGGTTGGAGACAAAATATTGCCACCTGTTGCTAGGTATTGGCTACTAAGACAGTGATATCGAGACCATTATTTTTGATAGAAACAAACACTCTCATGCTTTCATCTGTTATTTTATGGCTTATACTTGAAGTGACTATTCCCAATAAAGACGAAACGGTAATACACAGGGTGTTCATTTGAAAACTTCCCACCACGGATTTATCGAAACCTGCTGAATAAAAGAAAAAACGCCGAGACACGTAAAAAGATTTGTCAAGGGGGCCAACTTTTTAACCAAAAACTACTTCACCCCCTTTCACCCTCTGCCCAGGGTCATCCCCTTGAAAATTTTAAATGACAATCGGTATCGAGTAATAGCTTGTTTGACAGGTCTTTTGAAGTCCTTTATTTTGACGTTTGATTTTTTGAAATCGGTCGATTCATTTTCAAGAAAATTAGAAAAATCTTTATTTATCTTGATTTGTTCAGATAAAAAACAAAGACACGCAAAGTTCCATTTGTTATTTCAATAAGTGCTCAAAATGTTGTCCGTTATTGTCCAAACAATGATAAAGGCGATGTTCATCCAAACTTTCAGGTTGGGGAGTAAACACAATAGATTTCAAATGGCCCCCTAGAAAAAAGTCAAATCAGGAGATTTAGCAGGCCATTCTATAGGCCCTCTTCGCCCTATCCATTTATCTGAAAACTCGTCGTCTAGCAATTGCAGGACCGGAAGAACATAGTGAGGAGGAGCGCCGTCTTGCTGGAAATATAATTCAACCTCATCAAGAGGGCTTTCCATTAATAAACAATGGCCACTCACTTTATTTCCTAAAATGCCTACCCATACATTAATTTTTTAGGGGTACTGGGTATGCCTTTCTACAAAAGCATGAGGATTTTGAGTGCTTCTCTTGGGACGGGATTCGAACCCGCGCAGCAAACGGCGACTGATCAGGAGACCGAAGAGTCTACCACTGCGGCCACCGCTGCTGCCTGAAGTAAAGTGAAGTGAAGTAAAATCTGAATCAATAAATTAATTATCACTATCCCAAGATTATCACAAAGGTAATTGACAGCAAATTAAATTCTTCCTTTCCCTTAGCAACAAATAACTAAATCGGTATAACAATAAATACAGTTCGCCCGGGATATCTATGTTGATCAAAACAATCCGGAGAAAGAATCGGGTTGTTATTTGGTTGTTGCCACGTCTAATGTTCCGAATTGCTATTTATGATGGTAGTTTCCGTCTTGAATTATAAGCAAATTGTAGATTTGGCAAACCCTAACGGGCAACATTTTGAACACTTATTGAAATAAAAGTGATAATTTCGCGTGTTTTTGTTTTCTATCTAAACAAATCGAGATAAATAAAGATTTTTCTAATTTTCTCGAAAACGAATCGAGTGATTTAAAAAAGTCAAACGTCAAAATAGAGTACTGCCCCCCCTCCCTGGGGGGCCGAGGGTGAGAGGGAGTTAAGTAGTTTTTGGTTAAGAAGTTACCCCCATTGACAAATCTTTTGACGTACTTTTACTCAGAGGTTTTTGAGAAATCCGTAGTGAGAAGTTTTCAAGTGAACACCCTGTATACGATATACGGTTGATAGCATGCACGCAAGTTGTTATAACTTGACGATTTTTTCAAGTTTCCTTACTGTGATTAATATTCGAAATGCTCCTAACCTAAAATTGGAGCTTTAACTTCAAGAAAATTTAGGTTTCGTATTAGAGTGTATTCATATATCTTTGAAATGGCTTTAGAGCTTACGAGGGACGTCTCGAGAGATAATAACACACATAAACAGTAAAATCAGTGGCAAAATGAAATTTGTAAATCCCTCCCTAGGGACGCAGTATGCCACTGTTATGTTTAAAATCTCCCCTTTCCCCATTACATTCCCATAATCCAACTAGAAAGAGAAATGCTACCATTAAGTGGAATCCACACTGTCTGTGTGCGGGTTGCTGTCAGTGAAGTATTCTGTAAATTGTAAGCCTCCCTATGCCAGTCGACTTCCCTTCTACGGCATATTTGCATAATTCTGATTAGCAGTAAAAGGTGTCAAATAACAAAGTAACACCACAACGTTCCCCCAACTGCGGAACGGAACGAATGTTGCTTCTACCACCCACTAACGCAACGATGAAATAAACACGGGTAGACGTATCGCAACAATGATTTAACTTTACGCTTGCTTTTATTTAATTAGCGAAACTATGTGTAAATTAGAATCCGATGGGTATATAACGATTTAGTGATACAGGTTTCGCCTAGCATTGAAAAAGCATGTCAATGGAAATCGGAACAAAAAACGCAACTGAGCACGCCTGATGAGCAAAAATATAGTAATAGGTTAAAACAGCGTTCCTCAACCTTTCACCATTCGCGTCCCAATTTTCAATAATTATTCTCACCGAACCCCCCCCTCACACAATAACAATGTGGTAAACAATAATTATGTACCTTGAGCATTTTGGCGCTATACTTACAAAACAACCTTGATTACAAGTCCTACAACTTACCGAGAATAAGTAAGTTTATAGATATTTGGCAACGCCGATCTGCTGCATTGGCAAATCCGGAATCAATGCCTCTCTTCGCGAGAAGTTCCGAGTTATATAATATAATTCTGGTGAGTCTCAGTAGAGTCAGTCATTCTGACTGTGCTAATCTATTGTCAATGCGTATGTTGCAATTTGTGTGTTAATTGCAGTTCACGGTATCCCCAGCAGTAAATTTAAATTTATATCATATCATAGATAAATTTTGAAGTGGGCGTCAGCGAGCTTTCGATACTAGTGAAGCATCAACAAAAGCACAGGCGAGAGAGGTTCCAAAAATGAAATCAAGAAAATATTTTCAAGAATACTTAAATTTTGGGTTTACATGTACTGAAGTCAATGAAGAAGAGAGGGCCCTGTGTATCATTTGATCAAAAACTTTAGCAGCAGGTAGCATGAAACCTAATAAACTTAAACGACATTTGGAAACGCGGCATAGTGAGTAGGTTAACAAGCCCCGAGAATTCTTCGAGTTAAAATTAAAATAATACGAAAAGCAAAATTCATTGAAAAAAAACAGGCCCAAGGGAGTCACTAGTTATTATTATCATTTCTAAAATTAATATTATTAGACTTATTTTTAATTTAGTATTGATAAATACAGTCCTGTTTGTAAGTGAACTTACTATATCAGTGTTAATGTATATTTTATTTTTCATTATGTCAGAATTTAATTTTTCTTTCCTTTTAGTAAATTATTAGAAGTTGTTAGTGTTTTTTTAATATGCTAGGGGGCGCGCCCCACAGGTTGAGAAACGCTGGTTTAAAACATTCTATCAGCCATACCATGTCTCTTTCTATACTTTTCGTTGATTGTTGCTCGTTTATGGTACAGTGTGCAAGGCGTCTGATTTATTAATGAATTTGGTGCTTGTGCTGTCACCTTGGGGTATAGTTTTTCAAAGATCTGGGATGATGGCCGTTAACAAGGTATTACACACAAATTAAATTAATAATAATAATAAAACATTTACTTCGTTGTTAAACAGCCATAGACTATAACAAATTTAAAGTCAAAAGGAAATGGTAGAACAAAAACAATACAATATAGATTAAAAAACAGTTCTATGTGGAAAGAACGCTTCCAAGCTCTAAAAACACTCATATATTAGAAATGATTTCAACTGATTTTTGATACTGCTTATGTGGGTACTTTTTGAATATCTTCTGTTAAATTATTAAATATTTTACCCAAGTAACTCAAAGATTTCTGATATGCTTGCAGTACTATATTGAGGGTGTATGAGAATATGTTTTCTTTGTTATTGAAGAGGTTTATCAATGAGTTTATTTTTTTTTTATGTACAAGTATTGATAATTCATAAGTGGCAACAGTAAAATGCCACAGTGCAAGTGACCGCTTCGCTAGTATAGAGTATGCGAAACTTGCTTACTACAGTGATTTGATAAAAATTTTATACCATAAGCACTTTTACGTAATTTATGACACAGCAGTTCCACATGTGGCTCTCAAGTTAGATAACAATCAATGGTAACACCCAACAACTTAAAAGAAAGAGATATTTCAGTTGTTGGTACATTCTTAAAAGACTGGAATCTCGGTTATCTATCTTAGTGAAACCCTCATTATTTGGGTCTTATGTGTATTTAGTATAAGATCATTATTTACCGACCATTTCTGAGCGACGGTGCATACTGTTTCACTATTACGAACGAGTTCAATGTTACGAGTACAAGAACTGGTCAATAAAATATTGGTATCATCCACATATGATATAATTTTACAACTGCATTCGACATATATTCATTGAGATCATTAGCATATAGTGAAAGAATGAAAGGCCCCAGGGCCGATCCTTGGGGAACACCTGCCTCGATAACGGTCACATCGCTACTTGCATCATTAAAGCGGACATATTGCCTTCTTCCTCGAAGGTATGACTGGAAAAGTTGTAATGGCAATCCCCGAACTCCATATCAGCACAATTTATACACGACAGCAACTCATGATCAACATAATCGAAAGTGCGAGAGAAGTCTAAGAAAAGGCAACAAATATGTTTTTACTATCAGGGGCTGTGTTTACGTCACCAGTAAAACTGTACACCGCAGTTTCATTGATAAAAACATGCTGATTTTCCGAGATCATAACTTTACTTAACAAGTTAATGCCTCTGTAATCACTCGGGTCATTTCTTTTATGAATTGGTATAACTAATGCTAGTTTTAAAAAGCTTTCCTTGTTCACATTACAAATTAATCAGATACGATACAGGGATACATATTCCAGAAACACATTTTTTAAGCAGCTTATTTGATCCATCATCATGTCCAGAAGAATTTTTTAGCTAGGAAACCAAATGGAAAACGTTATATACTGAAACGGGTGACATGCATAGGGAATTAGGACACTTATCAATATTATTCCTGACAGTGAATTGTTCATTAAATTTGGAATCTACAATAAAATCATCAACTTTCCGACTATCTTCAGTGATAATGATATTTTGGATAGAATCTTTCTTTTGGATATTATTAAGAACTT